AGACAGCTACAGCCATTCCCATATTGGGATAGCTTGACAACAGTAGCCCGTGCATTGGAAACCTCAAGGTTGGATTACTGCAATGTGCACTGTGTGGTGCTAACCTTCAGATTTTCCAGGCACAACCCTTATTTTCTGCCTCCTGTCCCTGGTCAATCTTTGTCCCTATTTTGTAGATATTTTTAAATTGCAGTGCTCTTTTTAAAAACGTTCCTTGTTCAAATTGCTAATTGTCTACCTGAATTCCCCTCACCCAGTTTACCTAGAAATTAAAATCACTAGGAAAGTAACTCCCTTGCACAAATATGTAAATATAAGCTACTTCAGTTTGGTACAGATATGCCATTACCTATTAGCATTATACAGAGAAGGCTAAAACTAGTGACTGGCAAATTCACATAAGCATGATCTGAAATCACTTTTATATTTATAGATAATTGGGGAGAGGAGATTGTTTTGAGAGTTTTCTTCCAGTTGTAGGCTTGCCTCTGCTGAATAGCAGAGTGCAGTGCAAAAATGTGTCCTCACTAATGGCCACACATTGGTCATGATGCATTATGTCTTCCCCTTCTTTCCCTCACACACACACACTATCCCTGGATGCTAATAACCTCAGATTCAGAGGCAACTTGCAAGGTAAGCAGGTGTGCTTAGTTGCTGAGCTGTGTTGATGTTCCAGGGGTCATTTTTTTGGTGCCTATCTTGCATTTTAGATGCAAATTGACCACATAATATAAGCCTGGAAGCTTATATTAGAAAAGGATGTTATTTTGTAAGTGGTAAGAACTTGACAAACACACACACACACTGCTCTGCATAATAAATATTAGTTATTTCATAGTTCACCTATATTTGCTCCTGCTGCTTGGCCTTAGGATAACTATAAACATCTTCCAGTTCACTAGTGGACTGTACGATTTTTAAGCTGCTGCTTTCCCAAAACGATGTTGCAGCCAGATCTATCTAAGATCCATCTCCATTGGCTTATGCACTGGAGGGAAATGCACAGGGCAGTTTTGAAGTCCCCTAATTTGTTATTGTTACTATATCTTTCATTTATGAATCACTCCCTATGAAGTATCTCAAAGAGATATTACAATACAGTTGGAATACAATTGAAAAAAACTTTTATAAAGAGTTGCATATCTAAAAACAATTGAAACAATTTCCTATGCAAAAAGTTGTGGTATTGCTACAGCAACAAAAATAAGATGTTGCCTTGATGCAGCTACACTAATAGATCCTAGTGTGCCTGCAGCAGTCACTGCCCCAGATGTGGCTTAATGGAATGACTGAAAACAGATGACACCCAGCTGTTCCATCTGAATTGGGAAAGAATGGTCAGAATTGGAAGAAATTTTCAGATATGGTAACTCATTCTGGATATATGACGCCTGCCACGATTCAGACAAATAGGTGCAGGGGCTTCTGTGCTAGGGAACACTTATAAGTTTGTTTTATCTTCCAGCCTCCGATAAGATTCACAGGAATACTTACCCCTTTTGCCAAATTTCAGGAGGATAGGATCAGAAGGGGCTTTTGCAAGGCAAATCTTTAAAGTTTGGAATAAGAGATTTGCATCACCTGTGGTTTTTTGTACAAAAATAACACATATCACAGATGCTGCTAGGCAAATACCTTGCAACATATTGTAAGGGTAGGTGCAGGGGTTAGAAAGTCAGGATGAATCAAACACAGTTTTAGAGTTTGTTTTAATTTCTGCTCCACTGACAAGTTCTTGCTTCTACACTGTGATGGGAATCTAAAAGGAAAGCCTTGGTAAAGTCATTCGCTGGTTAGAAGCTAAAGCTGTCGCTCACAACACTACAGTTCTCTTCTCCCTCCCAGGCCCCCCTCCCACCTACCTGTTGCCTTTTATGATCAGCTTCGAGGGAAAATATAACTAGGTATTTCAAACAGATAGTCTGAGAGGGCCTTTCACAAAAGAACTTGTTTGCATTAGGGGATGTCTTGAAGTAGAGGACCTCATGCATTATGTCTTGCGCTGCCCCTTATATAATGAAGCAAGAGAACGATTTTTAGCACCTATAATGACAAGGTCCCCTGGCCAGAACCCCTCTGACATGATTTTATATCTCCTCGCAGACATAGATAAGTATGTGACCTGGTGTGTAGCACTCTTTGCAACTGCTGCTAGGAAAATTAGAGCAAATATATAGCCAAGATAGCCACCAACTGTAAAGGAGATGAATTTATTTGACCCTATCTACATCAAGCTATATTCTATCTTTATCACCAAACTCCAAATATAATTGCACATTGTTGAATGGTTCTGTGTACATTGTGGCAGCCTTTGGCTATGTGCAATAAAACTGACTGACTGACAGTCAGAACTCTCTTCCATAGGAGGTTTGTCCGGCAGCTTCACTTTTGTCTTCTGCCATCTGCTAGGTCTGCTGTGGATGTAGGCCAGCTGATTTACATGTCTAACTAGCTCTATGCAGGAGTTATAGAATTCCACAAATGGAGGGGAGATGAACTACAGGTACCATCCTGCTTCCAGTTTTTGAGTTGCCACAAGCTTTATCCCCAACCTTTATTCAATGACCTGAACATATGTGAGTACATGAGTGGGAATCCTTTTACAAAATTATACTTTGGTCAGCAGATCAGACCTCCAAGTCTCCTGGGCTAATTACGTCTGGGCAAGAGAAGACATAAAGCACTGCAGCTGCATAACCAAACTTGCTAACATTAAGAACTGATACCCTCCCCCCCTTCTTCATTTGCAGGAAAAGTTTTCTTCTAAACAGCGTGCTACTGAGAAAGGGCCTAGTCAAGGAAAAGGTATAACAAGCAGAGGAAATACAACTTGCATTCCTGTTCTGTAGAACTGAATGATTTGCCGGCTCCCAAATTTGACTTCAGCCCCTATAAAATGGCGATAGTCATATCAAGTAGCTGGCACTCGTTGTGTTGTGCATTCTCAGTCCTAGTAAGCCTACACCAGTAACATCTATTACTTTAATGGAAAAGAACAGAAACAATATTTGGTTTTCCATTGCAAGTACAAAATCCAGGTTTTATTCCATTGGCCTTTATGGAGTTATTAATCTTTTACATTGATAATAGAATTTTAGACCCACTTTAAATGCATTGTTAAAGTTACGTACTTTGATGTCCTCTTGGAAAACAACTTAAGAGCTGAGGTTTTTCTAGACCTGTACTGAAACTGTTTCAACCCATTAGTTTTTATGCTTTACTCATGCATGACATCCTTTAAACTTGAAATTAGAAAAACAAATGTTAGGTTTTTCTTCCACCATCTGTTACTTGTTACATGACCCACAGAGAAAGCCAAACATTGTTAAAATTATATTACTTCTATGGATTCTTCTTGCTGTCTTCCACGTTCTGAATCACTCTGCAATATGTGCAACATATAGACAGATATATACGCCTTTTATGAGATCGCTGGCCTTAGCTTCTGCTAACATACCCACAAGCTGGCAGGTGTTTTTGGTGGCTGTAATTAACTTGCCGAAGCCATTATAGCAATTTGTCTGCTTTAAAGAGTTGATATATAGCTGATCCAGGTACTTACATATAGTACTCCACAGCTCTTAAATGCACCCCTGCATTGGGATGTTGGCGGGGTGAGAGAGGGAATCACCATTAGAGGATGCACATACACATGCATGTACTAATATTAAAGGAGAGACAGAATAACTTTAAGTGCAGCTGTAACCTGATTAAATAGGTCAACTGTATGAATTCTAGGCTGCAGTTCTGTACATACTTATCTGGGAGTCAAGCCCAATGGACTTAGTGGGTCTTATCCTGAATACACATGCATAGGCTTACATTTCAGTCAATTAATCTAGCAGTTAAATCTGTGTGTATTGAGTTGTATATGAGTAAAGGCAAAGGCAAGGATCGTCCTAACCTTACTTTTCTTAATGAAACCAAGTTCATGTTCATGGAACAGGATTTCTATATTCCTGGACCTCCCTCTGTGTGCCTTAAAGGGTTGGGAGACCTTTGGGAAGAGATATGGTGGCAGGAATTCATCAAAATCATTCGTTCCTTAAATCAGGGGTGGGGAACTTTTTTCCTATTGAAGCGCAGCGTTTCCTAGGGATAACCTAATGCCGAAGATAATAGTTTTGAGGCCCCAGAGCTACACTCTTCTCTCTACAGTCACACAATGCTTAGGTCTCAGCCTAGGTCTCAGTGAGGTCTCAGCCTCACATTAATGGGCTTCTGCACATATAGCACTTGATGGATTAGGAACCAGGAACGTAAATACGATGTGGCTCCAAATTATGTGTCTTCTATCTTGGCTGGTTTTCCTTAAATCAAGACTGAGAAACCTCAGGCCCTGGAGCCATATGCTGCTCCCCTGGTCTCTATATCTCACCTTCAGGACTCAGCTCAGGCCACTCACCCTCTCCCGGCCACATCCCTCACTGGTGTATATTTTGCTCTAGGAGGCTTAGTTTGGTCAGAATCGAGTATACAGAATGCTAAATAACATTACTTCTGGTACATGAGCCACCAAAACCTCTAGAGGGCCACGAAAATTTGTGTCCAGGACTTTTTAGACTCATCTACCCTTATACTATCTGAAATCAAAGGGGTGTATTGGTTGCCAGATGTGATTTCCCCCCCAGCTCTCGTATCCTACTAGCTTAAATCACACTGCATGCTCTGTTTTTCACATAATTACTTGATTGTTTTAGGACAAGTTGAGGAGTGATGCGTATGTTTCTGTTAACAAAATATGAGGTTTTTGAAGGAAGCCCCTTCGAAAATGCATAAGATCCTCTGAAATCCATATAGAGTTGACTCAAAATATCCAGTGAAAAAAGCTGACTCAAATATAGCCCTGTTAACACCTGAAAAGAGAACATGCTAAAGTTTTTCCTTCTTCTTCTGCCAGTCACTTAACTGACACACACAAAGGAGAATCGGAACCTCTAAACTACAGAGTCTTGGTGCTTAGCAGAATGTTCTGGTATGTGGCAAGTCCTGGTACATGGCAAGATCATTAACTGTACAGAGGGGGTGTGCTTTTCATCAGTGCTTAAAAGGTCTATTTTGACCTGAGAAGGTCAGGTTGGCTTTCTCAAATGCCTGAAAATGAATAACTCACACCTGGAATCTAAGTGGCATTGTGAGCTGAAGGTAGCTAAGGAGTTACACCGGAGAATAGTTTCAGTGGGAATGTTAGAGTTATCCAGAAGTACACTGAGACAGAGTGTTCTCTGGTTTATTGTGCACCACTTTATAACTACAGACTAAAGGAAGTCTGAAGGAAACCACTACCTGAATAGTTAGCAAGTTTGCCACTTTTTCTGTGCCTTTTACAATTGAGTGGCATATCAAGCTTTCTCTGTATTGAAGTATGGTGAGAAGGAAGCTCCATCTATTGGATTTCTGGCTGTCAAAGAACACTTAGGCACAGAGCATTCTAACCCCGATACTGTCAACGGAAAGGAATGCAGGGATAACCATAGATCATGTGCACACGCAAAAATGGCAGAGTTACAAATGTGTAATGAGATTCCAGTAAGAATCTAGCTAATTAGATGACAGTTGCTATTAATTTTCCATGTTACTGGAAACGGCACAAGACCCTATTTTTGTAATAATGACTTGGAAAACTGTCACCACGTGATCAAATTTCAACACAATGTCAAAATGTGTTCCATCTCGTATGCAGTGCCATTAGCTTGGCTAAAGTCAGGAGCTCTCTGAAGAAAGAGTTCAGCAGTAATTTTTGGAAAACTTTGAGCCTCTCTTAGAAGTACATTGGCAGGTGGATGAAAAGATTCTTAAGAATTTGGACTTTAAGAAAGGAAAAAAGGAACATTTCAACCCTTCTCCCCCCGAACTTTAAAAAATAATGATGACAGGGCCCTGGAAAGTAAATGAAATGTATTAAATGACCATTGCTCTCAAATAAAGTCAAGAATTAAGTACAGCTATAACCAAGGTAAAAAATGTACTTAAGATAAATGAAAAGAAAAGTAGTCCACTCCTCTGATTAAACTCTGCTGAGAAGTATTATATTTTACTTAATGAAAGTATTTATAATGCGTCCTTCAAACAAAGGGCAGAACTATACATAGTTGAAACCTAAAATGAAAAATAAAATTAAAGCAACATAAAACAAAATAGCAAGATTAAGTTACAAATAAAAGCAGTTGCAACAAAAATTCAAGCGCTAGCATATCTGGCCCCTTCCCAAGAACCTGGGCAAAGAGATGCAGCTACTGCTGCTGGCAAAGTGATATTAATTTTGTGGTTAGGCACACCTCAAAAGGTTGATATTTCCCAAGCACTTCCTGGTGGTATGGATATTACAACACTGTGCAGACAGTGTTTCTGCAAAAATGCAAGCATTTCTCCCCAAGCAAGTCCTTCAGCCTCTGTGCCACATGCCCACACGTCCTGTCAAATTAGGTTTGCATTTTCTTTCTGCAACTTTTGATGTCAGTTGAACAGAAACAAGCTTGAAGCTTTTTTCCTTTCATTTATCAGAATGCCCTAGCCCCTAGCCCCATCCATCTGAATTTTTGCAGGTTCCTTCCTGGGGCACATCTACAGTGTATGCCATTTTCTTTCTTTCTTTCTTTCTTTCTTTCTTTCTTTCTTTCTTTCTTTATCTTTCTTTTTTAAATGTTGACCACAAAATCCCAGGGACGGGTGCAAATGACATTTAGTTCTGTGCCACCAAAATCACATTTAAAAGTGCCTAGTCCCTAGTATAAACCCTATTTGTTGGTAGAATGGCAAGTTTCTTACCTAGTGGTACATCTTGTGTGTCTTACAAATTACTTATAAAACAAAATGATAGTTTAAGTGAATCCTTTTTTAAGCAGTCCCAAACTAGACATGCTGCCCTTGAAGAAAAGCCACTGCAGCAATCCTTCTGGAAATTGCCAGGATTTTCAGAGGCCACCATGCCTGCATCCCCCCCTCCCAATTTGGACAAAACAACAACAACCCAGACCTTTTCAGAGGTTCATTGGAGTCAGGCTGAGATAGCTGTCATACAGATAGCTGCAGGTTGGGTTGCACAGCTCAAGCTATTTGGGGCTTTCAGGGGCAGGGCATCAGACAGGAAGCAGAGGCAAGAGTGAGCAAGAAGAATGGGAGACTCAAGGCAGGACCTACTGGATTCTTCATTCCACCAGATCTCTCCTCTTTCTGTTCCCCAGAAGCAGCAATGTACTGTATAGGATGGAATCTTCCAGCTGAACAACTGCTGATCTAGTTCATCTGATTTTTGTGTGTTGCTTTTCCTTTGTGAGCAGCTTCCCTTCCATTTAGCTATTAAGTGGAGGATCCAATCCTGCACAGTACTGGCCATGGCTCTTTCACAAGTGGATTTCCTGCATGCAAGCACTTCCATTGCATACCGGGAAGCTGATCATGAAGGATGAACAACTTGCACTACACAGAATCATATTCTCCTGCTAAGCAGGAGGATCTGATCCTGCATGGGGCTGGGGCACCCCCACCCAGCCACATTTTTAAACCCTACTTTAACTATACTGTTATGTTATAGGATTTTAACAGCTCTTAGACCAACATCCAGATTGCTTTGGGGGGAAATCTGGGGCAGGACAGGTGCCCTGCAGGGCAGCACAGGGCAGATCAACCTGATCCAGGGACCACAGATCAGAGCAGATCAGGGGGTCCATGCAGAGCCCTAATAAGGGCCATTTGATTAGATGATGAAAGAGGAGTCGGCACACTAATGTAGGATACGTAAGACTGCAATTAGGCATAACAGCTATATGGAGCTTCCAGAATGAGACAGAATGCCACAGAATACCAGTTCCTAGGGAGCAACAATGAGTGGTCTATTACCTTCAAGCCCTATTTGTGAGATTTCTGCATGGCACCTTGTACAGTGGTACCTCGCAAGACGAATGCCTCTCAAGACGAAAAACTCGCAAGACGCAAGAGTTTTTCGTTTTTTGAGTTGCTTCGCGAGACGAATTTCCCTATGGGCTTGCTTCGCAAGACGGAAACGTCTTGCAAGTTTGTTTCCTTTTTCTTAAAACCGTTACAGTAATACAGGGTGCATTGCTTGAAGAGGAGCAACTCATAGCACGCGGTGTGGTAGCCTTTTTTGAGGTTTTTGAAGATTTTTTTGAAAAAATTGAAACCGTGCTTCGCAAGACGAAAAAACTCGCAGAACGAATTAATTTCGTCTTGCGAGGCACCACTGTACTGGACTTAGATGGGTGGGCTATTGGTCTGATCCAGTAGGTCTCATCATCTGTTCAGAACTGAGCCATTACTGCAGAAGAAAAAGACAATATTTCATTTTCTGTATGTGTGGTGTGTGTTTTTAGCAGTCAAATCCATCCTATTCTTTTCGCCCCTTGTGTGTCATTTATTTGAATATCCTTTAGCTATGCCATTGCTTCAGAGTTGCTTTGTTTCTCTCTCTCTCTCTCTCTCTCTCTTTTAATCAGACTGCAATTCCAAGGTGGATGCAACTTTTAATCAGCGTATTTGTTTAAAGTGCATTGCCTTGACCAGAACATGTCTTTCCCACCCCCCACTGTATTATTTCATCTGGGATATGGCTGTCATTTTATCATGTTTATTTGCTTTAGGCGTGCCTGCCTGAACCACAGGCAGTTTCTGCAATGTGCCTAGAGGCGCATTCTCAAATCCCCACGTCCCTTTTGCTGAGTCTTGAAACGAGCTGCATCGCTGGGTGTTTATACATATCACCGAGATGGCACCAGGAGCTGAAATCATGCCCTTAGGGTTGAGTTCTATTTGGAGGTGCCAAAATGGTTTCTCTGCTCTCACTCAGCAGCGTGACACGCGGTCACTCATTTCATGAGCTGCAAATGAAGGCATTGAAGTGACTTTGGTATAGCAGACGGTCCAGGCAGCATTTTTTGGCAACCGTATGTGTCATAACGCCTTAAAGAATAGAGGGGCTGGGAGGTTCGGAAATTCACAAAGAGTGACACCTAAGAGCATGCTAATGCTTTCGCCATCCTGCTGCATATTGTCTTGTCGGCTGAGTCCAGGAAATGAACGTGTAACTCAAACCTACCCTTGTAGCTCTCCGACTTATTAAAGCAGAAATCTGAAATATTTTTTATTTATTTTTCTGAATCTAGGGTGGTATTATTAATAATATTCCAACCAATGCCTCTGGCCATATGCTTTGACCTTTCAGAAGTCCTTTGTGAAGCTCGCTCCTGAAACCACTTATTCCAGCAGGGGACTCATTGAAGTCAACAGAGCTCCTGTCAGCATACATGCTTGGGGCACTAGAGCTTTATTATCTAATCAATGTCACTGCAGATATTCATACCAGTTGAAACCAACCGGGGATCACAAACTTTTTATATTACGATTCCAGAATAAAGTTCTTTATTGAACAGTTTGGAGTGAAATGAGCATGGATAACAAGCATGGATGTTTCTGAAAGGCTTTATAATTTAAAGCAGGTCTGGGGAACCAGCAGCCCTCCCGTCATTGTTGGACTCTTAATCTCAGGATCGTAACTTCGAGCCCCATGCTGGGCAAAAAAAATTCCTGCATTGCAGGAGGTTGGACTCCAAGTCCCATCAACACCCGCCAGCAAGGCCAACATGATCAGAAATTATGGGAGCTGGAGTCCAGCAACATCTGAAGGGCCACAGAATTCCCACCCCTGATTTAAAAAGACTAGGAAAATGTCCATTCCCATTCTGGGTAGGTGGGTGGCCTAAGAAAGAGAATCTCTCAGTCACCTTATCTGCAATGCTAAGCCAATACCCCCAATTTATTTATTTTTAAAATTTGCCCCCCAAGAAAGTGTGGAGAGATATTCAGCCCAGCTTGAAAATAAATCCAGATCTATGATATATCAAAATATCAACCACTCAAACTTATCCAATTTTCATCACTTGTCAGAGCTCTCTTTTGTCAGTGGAAATAGAGGCTTGCCACTGAGAACTCAACTGGCAAACATATTTGGGGAGAGAGGAGTAAAATGAACAAGGGCAAATCAGCAAACTTATTTGTGAAAGAAACGAGAAGACATATCTTCAGTGGACGGCTGACATTTCTCATAGGAGGGTAAATGCAGGAGGGAGTGATCCCATTTATACAACCAGCTCTAGATTCCATTTCATGCTTTACAAATATACAGTATAGGGTGCTTCCTCCTTTTGTGTTCTCTCAGAGACCGAACATGCTCCCCAGGGCAACCCTCACCATTCCTTGTCATTCAGAGAACACAGCCAGCTGCTGAAGCTAGGGCTCCCATTGCACTGTTACCAAGCCACCAGATCAGACTGGAAAAACATGTGTTAGTGCCCTGTATATTATCTTTGGAGCTCACGGGTGCCACACTAGCACAGCAACATTTGCTTTTCAAAATGCCATTCAAAGTTGTCACTGGTACACATCAGGACACCACAAGAAAATGACTTTCAATAGGGAGACTGAAAAGGCACATTCTTATGAAGGTAATCAACTTTTTGTGGTGGCGATGGTGGGGTGTTTCTTTTCATATTATTTTACTCAGTAAGGTTTTGGAATGTTTATCCTTTTTCCACCCCCCTTTCTTCCTAAGGCTGTCTCATCCAAATGTTTTTGTAACTTCATGAACGTGTCAAAGGTCCTCTGCGGGAATTCTGTGGGAAATATGCGGAATGACCTGCACATAAGAAACAAGGAAAACATCACAGCATGAGATACCATGGAAGTTAAAATGAAGCATCTGTAGCTCTGCACATGGCACTACAGAGATCTGTAACAGGACATTCATATTCAAAGGACAGCCAGAATGTTAGGCTCACATACTGATTGAGAACCTTGCATTATTATAATCAGCATGTAGAATGTGGATCAGTATTTCTAAATGAGGAGTGTTGATACAAAAGAGGGGTTTATTGCTTTTTTTGTAGACTCTTTGGTCTTTCTTAAAACACACATGGAATCAAAAATCTGTTTTCAAAAAGTCCATGTGATGAAATCTCCTGAGCCTTTTGGTTATTTGCTAGAAATATTGTCAACAATTATTATCCTTAGCAGTCAAATTTCCAGAGATGACCAATGTTTTCCCATGCTAATGAAATGAATGAATCTATTGCATGCTCAACAAATAACTTCTTAAGAACAGCCAAATAAAAAATTAGCTGTAAACTCAGAATTGTAGTTCATTGTTTTCATATTTTCAGATGAAACAGACACAGAGCGAAGAACACAAAGGATGGAAAGATTGTTCACTGTATATGTAAAATAACAAACAATGCTTAGCTCCAGTTGAAACTAGTAGAACTGCTCTCTTTGTTTGTTTGTTTGTTTGTTTGTTTGATGTTAATCATCTAAATGCTAACAGTCCAGAATGTCAAAGAAGCATAGGCCACTCACTGCCTCTAACAACTCATGCCGTCATATTTATCAGATGGCATATTTGCTGCCTTCGATGAGAGAGAGCTGTTTTTCATATTGTGGAACTGAAGGCAATCTAATGGCTAGAAAACAAACAATGGAAACATTGAGTTGGATTCAGACTAAGACTGCAATCATACATCCATCTACTAGGGAGAAAGCCCCCTTGACCTAAGCAGGGCTGACTTATGAGTCGTCTTATGAGTCTGATGCAGGAAAAGCTTGAGTAGGTCAGAATTACCAAATTCCACAGAATCATTCTCCATGTCTAATTGCTGGAAGTTGATTCTTAGTCAAATAGAATAAACAGTGGGATACAAATTGTCATGAACACTTTTGGTGATATTGTTTTGTGTTGAACGTGCCAATCTGTTATGAGAAGATATGGAGACAGTCAGGGCTTTTTTTTCAGCTGGAACTCATCAGAACTCAGTTCCAGCACCTCTCAGGTGGACACCATTGCCATTCTAAGAGAACAATAGTGGTCTTCATGGTGAGTTCTGGCCCCTCTTTTTCTATAAAAAGAGCACTGGAGATAGTAAATTTGTTGGGGGGGGGGGAATGGCCATCAGGTGTACTAGGGGGTTGGGGAAAAGAATCTGCCATAAGTGACTGATAGGCTGCTGTGAATTTAGATTCTGTTGACTCATATTGTCAAGGTAAGAGAAGGAAGGCATAGAGATGATAAATTTGTTCAGGCATTTGTTTATAATACATAAGAAAGCAGAAGTACAGGATGCCCTTCAACAGTAAGGTTTACTTGGAGAGATTTGATATTTTTTAATTGGTATAGTCTTTTTATATTGATAGTTCTTAAGTATAGCATTTATGTATTCACATAACTTTTATGAACAATGTTAATCTACCTTTCAAGGCCAAAAAACCGGAATAATAGAAGATTCACAGAGCTTATAAATTGATGGGCTTTGTGTGTGTGGTGTATAGCGGTGGGAGGGGAGAGCATAGACTCTATAGCAAAGATTGTTATATTTGGTACCAAAGCAAGAACATTGAGATTATAACCAGCAAACTAGGTCTAGTTTGATGATATGCTGTGCTCAAGTATGTGGTCCAAATTTACTACACACTAGTAAATGGCACACATAGTGAGACAATAAGTAGGCAGCTAATAAAGGAAGGTACATCAAGCACAGCAGCAGAAAGAAATGTAGCAGGAAGAACAACAATCTCTTTTCCTTGCCATGAATTTATTCTGTAGCAACAGAAAGGTATCGATATGGGATCTTTTCTCTCTCTTTTTCTTTTGGTAGACTGAGTCTCAATGATAACAGCTTCCGATGCAAAGTGTTCTGTCACTGCCACAAGTTTTATGACCTTCCCTTCTTCCCCATGAAGTCTCCCGACTCAGCCAGTGGTCTGGAACAGATGACAACACTGTTTCTTTGTTCTCTTAGCCTGTGGCTGGGTGTATCGAGGGGGTTTCTCGGCACAGTTGGTCAGCATTGTGCATTTTGTTCTTTACCCAGCAGATACTAAAGAAACACAGGAGCACAGCAGGGCCCAAATGACAGTGCTTAATAATATAAACAGACATGCAAGTGCTAAAGACATGTGCCTGGTAAAGCAACTATTCTGGAAGCTTACAAAGCACACACAGTAATTTACAGAGCTACCACCTTCTTCGTGTCCACTTCAGAAGGATATGATCTAGTCAGTACCTGGTCCTGTACTACTGGATCTAGGCAGTGGGTGATCTCTTGCTAGGAAAAGGTACAAGACAAAGCTGGTGCAGTAGCCCCAGAAAGCCCCAGGAGTCCTTAGCTTGCTAACAATTTCAATTGAGAATTGAAAAATTCCAGTCTTTAACTATTAAAATGTAACTTAAAAAACAACAACAATCAAATGCTTGTGATCTTCCTGATGTCTTTACAATGATTGCCCAAAATTTCACAAGCAGAAGCAGGATTATTTTTATATCTGTAGTTTTTACTTCTTTTAACACAGTTAAATATATATGGGCATTATCACGACAATATAAGCAATGGGATACAATTAGCATTAGCTTTATCGTTTGTGCCCTTACTTTTTAAATGAAAGCTGAAAAGTCGAGAGGCGGGTCTAGAATATCAGTGAGGGGGAAAGTGAAGCCCTACCAACCTACCACTACAATGGATTCAAAAATGTTAATTAAAAAAAAAAAAGATTTGGGCAGATGCGAGAAGAAAATCAATCACCCAACTAGCCTCACCCCAGACATGATCCTGCTCCAGTCTGCAGCACTCCTACAGATCCGGCTATCTATGTTAAAAGAGAACGATGGAGAGAATTTGAAGAGGTGGAATCCAAAGAATGGATGTGAGATGCTGAAGAAGAAAGACTCTTACTTTCAGATCATGCCACTTTAAGAAGAGAAAGTTTCAGTTCTTGCAAAGTAAGAATGACATTTTTCTTTTACTTAAGGGAGCCCCTTTAACAAACTAGCTGGGATCATGGCCTTTATGAATTATGGACCCTTCACACCATGGATAGAAACCATAATACTCACTCCTTGCCAGTGAAGTATATTAATAGTAGATTTGGCTTGACATTATGGTCATTAGGGCCCTCTGGAGTTCTACTATAAATGTCAGTAGTTGTTGTCAGAAAGTTAAAGGTTTTGTTTCCTACAGGCTATAATAGCTCTGTGCGTGTGTATGTGTGTGTGTGTGTGTGCATGCTGCCTACCTGCAAATAAATCTTATATCAAATAAGGTGCACTGCATTATGAAAACAAAACTAGCCATTTAGTGGACAGTGAAATGTGTGACTACCAGCTGGTGTTCTCCAGCTTGTGGGAGCGGGCACAAGAATTACCAATAAAATAGAATAATCAATAACATGTGGTAAAATACATGTCCTTAAAGAATTAGTTTTACTACTGATCGTGTTCCCAGGTATTTTATAAAGATGTGCTCTTGGCTATCCCATTTAGAAATTGCATCAAACTGCCTGCTGAGTGCAAAACCAGAGAATAAGAAGCAGTCTGATATTATAGCAAACTGGAGCCAAACCTGAATGTCCAATTCATCACAAACACTTGTATAAATGTATATGCTTTATTTAAATGCGCTTATTTCCTAATGGGAATCTCAGGGTTTAGTGTGAGCCAAGGCTTTAATATGGGATGCTGTTTTCAATGCCAGATCATTCACAGTGGAATTTTGATGAATTTGCATGGGCAACACACACAAAAAGGCAATCATTTCAGATCCCTGTTAAGTCCTTGTGTCTAAAGACTGGGACTCCTCTTTAGATGAACACACTGAAATATATAAAGTAATCTACCTATTTTATGGGTTGATTCCCAAAAGAAATGGGATTTGCTCACCACTATGGTCAGATTTTCTTCATAATTAGAACAAAACGATGTTTGATTTCATCAAGGTGGGGTTGAGCTAGATTTGCTCTTTTATGTGTATTATTTTGAGTATTATAGGTTATTTTATATCTGTTTTGAATTTTTGTTTTTCTAAGTCACTGTGATTTCATTCTTGGGGATGGGGGGAGTCTGGTAAATAATAAATAAATCTTAATGATGTAATCAAAAGGAATATTTTGATACAAAGCCATCGTCTGCTGTTTGTGTGTGAAGACACTGAGAACCAATTCACACACTATTCTGTTAATGAAAGGAGAAAACTAAGATGCTTCCTGTGAAAACTAAGATGCTTCTCAAGAGTCTTTCTCAGGGCGGTCACTAAGGTCAGTCATTCAACCACTTCACCATGTTCAGACTTCGCTTTAAACACCTGTTCTCACCGTCTACTGGCAAAAAGAGCCTTGGGAATCTCACTTTATCATTACTCAAGTACATCACTACCAGTCATGTGGGGTAAGAATTGTTCTTCTTATAATCCACCCAGATCAGAACAAAGAATGCTAAACATATTTCATTATGGAGCATAATATCCAGAACAAGTAGTAATTATATGCAGCATTTTTATAGTTCTGGTTTCCTAACTAGATGGTTTCCTAACCTAGCATAACTGATTATCATGAGCTCTCATAACAGCTCTCCTAACTCATACGCTCATTATCCTTCTCCTCTAATTCCCTCTCAATCTCTTTCTCATTCGCAGAAACTCCTTCCCCACTTCAACTGCCATTCCTCAAGCAACGCTCTGTACCTGCAGCTCACTCTAACTCCACCCAGCATTCCACTACACTCCCCTCCCCTCCAGTCAATCATTCCTCTACTAGCACCTTTGCCATAAACACCCTAAGAATTTTGCCGCCCCCCCACCCCCCACCCCCGCTGCTCCATCACTTGAGCATTTAAGTGGCTGGTAGTGATGGCACAGGAGCAGACGAAGGAAGTGAGCAATTCCAACTGCTAGAACAATGAATAAACACTCATTTGAATCCCTAGACATTGCAACCAATCTTCTTCTAATGGCGATCAACACAAGCTTTAATAGAGAGGTGATGCTTAGTTGGAGACTACATTGAGGCTAGGGGTAGTCCGTGCCTCACGACCAGTAACTGAAAATAGACCA